GGAGTGCAATGGCACAATCTCAGCTCACTGCAAATGCTGCCTCCCAGGTTCAAGTAATTCTCCTGCCTCAGCATCCTGTGTAGCTGGGATTATAGGCACCTGCCACCAGGTCCAGCTAATTTATTTATTTATTTACTTATTTATTTATTTATTTATTTATTTTGTATTTTTAGTAGAGACGGGTTTTCACCATGTTGGCCAGGCTGGTCTCGAACTCCTGACCTCAGGCAATCCACCCACCTCGGCCTCCCAAAGTGCTGGGATTACAAGCGTGAGCCACCATGCCTGGCTGAGATTGGATGGCATTTCTAGAGGGGCCAGCCTGCATCTTTGCTAGCTTCCCTGACCCCTTGCACTGTGTACCTCAATTCATTCCTCTGATATCCCCACATGTCCAGTCTCTCGAACCTGCCTTGACTTGTGTCAAAGTTTCTCAATATGGCGCCTCAAATCAGATTTGGTTGATGCCTGTTCTAAATACTAAGGGAGTTCCAGTCATTACACTAAAAAATGGTGATTTTTCATGCCATTTTATTGTCTCAACAATTTGTGTGAACCCGACAGGATAAGCATTGCTACTCCAGAGGAGAAACAGTCATAGATGAACAAACACAAGTTCAAAGTGACCTGCCCAGAATCACACAGCTAACCAGGGATGGAATGGAGATGAGAACTTAGGTCTCCTGGCTTTTGTCCCAGTGCTCTTAACTCTGGGACTTGTCATGGTGCCAGGCTTCTCTCATCGTCCATCAAAGTCCATTATAATCTGGAGAGATTGTTCCCATGGGAGAACAGAGCATGGGGCACTGAACTCCTGTCTCTGCTGGTGTGGAATACTTGTCTTCCAATTTTGCAAAACAGAGCAAGTTCTCTGGGCTCCGAGTGGAAGGTGGCAGTTTCCAGAAAACAGAGAAGGTGCCATGTTGGAAGATAATTTAGATTTTCGACTTAGAAATGAGAAGGACCTCATGGTTTTGCCTCTAGCAGAGAACCCACAGTGATCACGTTCTTGGCTCCTGCTGACATGTCTCGGGTACACTGGCCCCAGTGAGTCCTGCACACTCACGTGGCTGCACAGCTTCCCCCAAGGCCTCCTGAAGGAAATGAGACGGAGCTGTCAGGGCTGACCTAGGGAAGCACAGCTCTTAAATCCATGAAGCATACGATAGAAGGAGAGCGGTCACCCAACAATTGATGGACAAATGTCTGAACGTTACGACAACTAAATTTTTTAACTCTATTTCTATTTCAGGTCCCAAAATGAATGTGATCTGCTTATGTATCTATTTATTTAATTTGGTTAACCTTTAGTTTTATTTTACCCAGTACAGTTTAGAAGAGGTGTCAGCAAATGTCTCTCTTAATGAACCAGCGGAGAATATGTTAGCCTTTGAGGGTCATATAGTTAAATGAACAAAAGAGTATGGCTGTGTTCCAATAAAACTTTATTTACAAAAACAGCTGACAGGCCAAGTTTGTGCTGAGGCCATAGTTTGCCAACCTTGGTTTAGATTATTGATATTATTTTTGCATTTTTCAAGACTCACAAGCAGGGAGCATTTGTATAAACTTCACCCTCACTCAAGACCATTACTCCAAGCCTAAAGGTCTTACAAGAAATGAAAATCCACCGACAACCGGCAAGAAAACACTCCTACAAAATTCAGAAATGAAATATTTGTTTACTATTCCATTTCCAAAATCAACTGATTGCTCAAGTAAGAGGGTGTACAGCCATTAAAGACATAATTAATGGAAATAATTTGCATTACACAAGAATATTAGAATTCCAGAAGCCTCTTTTATAGGAAAAGTTCAATGCTTTTCATTCTCTGATAAAGGTAGATGCTTTATCTGAACAACGCAATAAAGACAACTGTGACAAAGAAACAGATGAAATAAATAAATGTTCTTTAACTTTTTAAATATACACATTAGCTACAATTTCATCTATATTATAAATATGCTAAATCATAAAATATGAATAAATATGAATGTTATAGGAATACACACACACACACACACACACCACACACACACACACACACAGATCTCCTCAGCTATTTGTGGAAATGCTGCCTGCTGGACAATACCCACTTCAGCAGGGTTTGAAGGGTTTGAACAGTTCTCAGCACTTTTATCTTCCATGGCTGTCAGGAAACTGACTCCTAACCTCTGTGTCATATTGCCTTCTAAAAGTGAGAGATGTTATTAATGGGAATATGTTGCTCAGGTAAATGGTGTCAGGAATGAAAAAAAGTTCGAGATCTTCTGCACTAAAGCAATTAGCTCCTGTGAGTCAGTGATAATGGGTTGACTTTCTACGTGTCTGGGTTTCTTGTAGAGGCCTGGCTCCACAGAGCACATTCAGAGATGGGTGGTCTCTCTTTTCAGACACCATGCACTTCCTTAATGCAGACTGTGAAAAAAGAACACATTATAACTGCAAAAACACCATGTCCGACTTCACGAGGGCTGCTATCTTTGTTCGTGTAAGACATCAGTGAAAATAGTGAAATGAGTGAATAAAAACCAAAGGTTTATGATGTGCAAGGCTTTATTCTGTGGCTCTGCATGAGCTGCAAAGAAAATAAAACAGTGAAAAGGTGAGGCATCCCGGAATGACACCTTTAATCAAGTCATTGTGCCTTTCTTAAATTTTCCATCACAAAGGTAACAAAAAACAGAATCCAGATTGGAAAAAACTGTTCATCCCCTACTATGGAGATCAGCCAGCAGAGCGTTCTTACCCCCTACAAATTTACTAAATCTATAAATGGGCCCCAAAGTTAAGCTCTTCCTGAGACCAGATTCAATTTAAGCCCTGGTTCTATGCATTTAATTAACTATCTCTGTAAGAATTTGAAATACCAAAATGGATTGCATATGCTTGGCATTTTTGCAGGCGTATAAATTGCATACTTTAAGCAAGGAGGGTGTCTCTTTCTGAATTCACCAGTGGTAGTTTAGGCAAGTTCTTCATGTAAATGCACATCCTGATGCATGAGGGAAAAAGGCCAGTCTCCTCAATTTCTTTGAAGGTTTTCAAAGCAGTCTTCATTGAAATAAATGTACTGGAAACAGCAGAAGTAGAAAAAACGGTACAAAGGCGATAACGTTTGCATAAAGAAGCCATTAGGAAGGTGTGCCAATGGAACAATTGTGTGATGTTGCATAACAAATGCACACTTTCGTTTAGTTATTTTAAAGATTCCGTTTATCTAGTCGTTTTTTGCATTTAAAGAGCATGATGCCGAATGATTCTCCATTCCTAAGATGCCAGCAGTTCTTGAAAACGCATTCACAGAATGATTAAAAGCATAATAAAAGAGGAAATCCCAATGTAATATTTATCCAGCCTGAATTTTCAGTGTAAAAAAAAATCCGAACCCATCCCATCTCCCAATTGGTGCAATCACATCTTAATAAAGGACATATTTTAAACATAGGCTATTAAAAAACAGTGAACAAAACCAGAAACAGAGCTTCAAAACTCCCCCAGATGCCTCCAAATGCAGACTCTGTAGACTAGGAGCTCAATGAAACTTAGTCTAGGCCCTGCCCTTTCCTCTCCAGGTCTTTGCCCCATTGATGGCAGAGCAGTGATTGTCCTCTGAGAGGGCTAAATTCAGTCCACTGCACATAGAACACTAAATGTAAATTCCCCATGAGCACACTAAAGATGCAGCCTCACCAGTAATCAAAAACCAGATTAAAAGGAGAATGATTTTTCTTGTCTATCAAATTAGCAACAAGTAGATGCTTAACTGATTTTGCTTCTACACTTGCTGCCTGTGGTCTCACCCGCACATAGCAGCCTGAGTGATCCTGACGAAACCCCAGACATGCGGAGTCTCTCCCCTGATTAGAACCTTCAAGGGCCTCCTTCCCCACTGAGAATCAGGCCCTCTATCACCTGCCATCCCCTGGCTGCTGTTCCAAGAGCCTGCTCACCTCCTTGCTGTCTCACTCTGCTCTAACCCCCATGCTAGTCCCTTGACATTATGGAGTGAGCTGATCTTAAGCCCCTTATGCTTGTTCTTCCTGTTGCCTGGAATGCTGTTTCCTTGGGTCTTTACGAGGCTTCCTGTCATTCTGCTCCAGCTCAGGTGTCACTTTCCTATCTCAACTGAATACAGAGCATCTCATCCAAAATGGCATCCCCCCTGCCCTCCAGCCCCTCCTCTGCTCTCTTCTCTGCACAGGGCTTAACCATTGCACGATGTTACAGTGCATATTCATTTATTTATTTTTGCCTGTGAAGTGCCTTGAAGACAGGAAATCTTTTTTGTTGTTGCTCATGGCTGGATCTCAAGTGCACAGAACCGTACCAAGCACACAGTAAATACGTGCTGATGATGGAAAGGATTTAAATGGCATGACCTGGTGTCACCAAGGCTATTCTACACATGTTCCCTTTCAAGGACCGTGGGGAGAGATGTTGGTACAATCACGATGGGAAATAATCTGGTAATGTTACCAAGTGCCTCTAACATGTTTCTATCCTTGGACTCAGTTTACCACTTTTAGAAATCTTAGAAATTTACACTTGAGATCAGCAATATGGGCAAAGAATGACATAGAAAGATATTTATATCAGAGGGGTATTTTTAACAGCAGAAAATGAGAAATGATGGGAATAAATAGTAATAGCAATAATGACATAGAATAGCACTATTTATGGAGCAGTTCTGAAGTGTTGGGTAAGATGCTAAGTGCTTTAAATATTCTATGAACTAGTTATTTGCAATTTAAAATGAAGACACTGAGGCAACTTGCCCAAGTCATCACCTAGTAAATTTTATAAAGAATTAGAAATCAAATTCTTGCTTCTCAGCCTGAGCTAAGAAATAAACAAGTAGTGAGGCCAGCATCACTTGTTGAGAACTTTAACCGAATCATCAAACAAGGCAAGCATTTTGCCTTACTCCAGGGTAGGGAGATTCAAAGGTATTGTTGGGCACCCAGGGTCACAGTTGTTCCTTCTGATCCAAACAACCCTAGATCCCCTGTGCCAGGCACAGGAAACTTTATCCCTCAGGTTCTCTGAAGATCTGTTTGTGGAGTCAGCCCCAGGACTTTTGCAAACGTTTATCACCGACCTTTAAGAGGTCCACATTAAGCAAACAAACTCTTTCCTCTGCCCCACCCTCTCTTCTTCCTATTGTTGCCAGGGCCTATGATTTCCTCTTGAATCTCTGAGCTATTCTCCCAGGAGTCTCACTCATTTCCTGTCCGGGGAGCCTTGGCATCTGATCTGCAGGCGGCAGGCGCAGGAGCCAGCAGCCCCAGGGGCTGTTTCTCCTTCCTCATTGTCTTCGGGAAACCGCGGGGCTGTTCTCCTCCCCTTCTGCCCAAAGGCCACTGTCTCGAGAACCCAGCCCTCTGGTAGGAGGCCATCTGGCCCTGCCACCAGACCTGTTGATGGGTTGGCAAACGTCCCTTCCTCCTGTTTCCCCACTGCACCCCTCCACGCCTCCGCTCCACAAGAGGAAACTCTTAGCATCCCAGATGCTTGCAGCTTCGCCTGACTCCTCCAGTCCTCAGCTCCATATGGTCTGGATTCACTTTTTGAAATGGCTCGGCCTCTAATTCCCCGTTTTCTGTTCGTGTGCTCATTTTAAGACTGTGTCCCATTGCCATGTTTGCTGCTGCTACATTTTAAATTGTTTTAATTTAAAACTGATGCTGCTGGGCTAATTAATGCAGCCGCTGCTAACCACATGCATACATACATACTCGGAGGAGTGTGTGTGTGTGTGTGTGTGTGTGTATACGTGTTGAAGGGAAAATTCCTTTCACATGGTTTCTTCTTGTCCCCAGAAATCTGAAAATCTCTTTGTCTTGGTACTTGTCCCAGCAACATCACTCTCTGCCTCTTTCTTTGGCCTATTCTTAGAGTAGGGGTATTTTGCAAAAAGCCAAGACCCCCTACCGTGCCAATTCTTGCAACAGCTACAAGAAACAAGACCATCTTAGCCCAGTTAGGGGAGTCAAACTGACCCGACGACCTACTCTCCTAAAGTTGACTGTGAACATTTCCATCAGCATCGTTCCGATGTCTTTCCCTGCTTCTTTCTGGCACTTTCCCTCCTACCTACCTTCCGACAGCCAAAGACCCCCGATTGCAAGGAAAGGTTATAGACCCTTTCTCCTTTGCCTGCCTCCCATGTCAATTCCTTCTTTCAGTCTTTCTAGGGGGAAAAAGGAACAATGTGGTTAGTTCATTCAAGTATTCATGGTTGTTGGCCAATAGTAATCTCAGGCAATAATCCTATCATTTTGTATTTTATTAAAATAGCAACAATATCTTAACCCAAAGGATTTATTAATACAGGAATTTCAAAATGATAGGAAAATATTTTTGTATAAGAATTTTATATATCACCTCTCGGTTTGGTTTGCTTTTTGGCCTCTCTCCTATGACACCAGACTTCTGGGCAACCCCTTGGCTCTGACTTTGGCACCTGGAAATAGCATGAATGTCCTTGAAATCAGAGCCATAAAACTACTCAGGACTGCTCCACTCATCACAGAACTTATTTTTTGAGATGGAGTGTTGCTCTGCTGCCCAGGCTGGAGTGCAGTTGTATGATCTCAGCTCACTGCAACCTCCGCCTCCTGGGTTCAAGCAATTCTCCTGCCTCAGCCTCCAGAGTAGCTGGGGTTACAGGCATCTGCCACCATGTCCAGCTAATTTTGGGGTTTTTTTTTGTTTGTTTTTTTTTTAGTAGAAACAGACTTTCACCATGTTGGCCTGGCTGGTCCTGAACTCCTGGCTTCAAGCAATCTGCCTCCCTCAGCCTCCCAAGATGCTGGGATTACAAGCATGAGCCACTGCACCCAGCCTGCTCCACTCACCATATAACTTTTTCTGGTAGCGCAAATGTTCAAGTGAACAGTCTGGAAGATCAGATGAGAACCTAAATATGGATTGTTTTCCAGAAGTGAGAATCAAACATGAATTTCCTCCTCTTTCTTTGATTTAAATGGGGATTTTCTTTTTCTCTTTGTTTCTCTCAAGGCAGGATGAAGAAGCAAAGGCAGGCTAACTGTCATGGAGCCAGAGGACGAGGCCTCCTTTTCAATATTGTTTTTATTGATGAACAGCCATCTCACTCCATTTCCTGGCTCCGTCCCCAGCTGCAGTGCGCTCAATTATATTTTCAGGATTGTGTGCCACTGAGATCACGCTGTCTTCTTCTTTTAGAAACTGGCTGGAATTATAAACAAAGGGGAATGCATGTTTAAGGAATAAGGACAGGGGAGTAAGAATTACTGTGTCTCTCTGAATGCAGACAAATGACAATTTGGTGAGCTTGCAAAGCCTGCCTGGATGGTGTCTTTGTCCTGGGTTTCATTTCTCCAGCATGGAAGGATGCCCTGTCTCCCTGCTAGAGCAGGCCTGCTCTAAGGAAGGTCATTCCTGGTTACAAGAAATACAGAAGGCTGCATGTGGACCAGTGAGCAGAGGCAGACAGGCCCGTGCCCAGGCCCCAACATTGGACCACACTAGAACCACCAGTTGACTCAGACATAAAAACCAGTCAAACGAATCCACCAACACCACTAAGTTAAGAGAGCTGGTTGGTTAATGTGACCTCAGTGTGGTAGAGTAAATGGAAGGGCCAGTAGCCAAGAGGCCTGGGTTTAATTTTAGCTCTGCCATCTGCTGCCTACGGGTCATGAAGTGCTTTGTTAGTGTCCCTTCAAGGATTGGTTTCCTGATGAAACCAGCCCTATTGTCCCATAGAAAGGATATCTACGTGTTTTTGAATAAACACAGAAATTTACCCTGCCAGTTTTGAAACTTAAAATTTACATTTGTCTCATCTGAGTTTCTCTCTTAGCAAACTGACACTCAGACAAGAGAAGGAAATACAGCAGATCACTGCCAATGAGATGACAGACCCCTCACTCCTCATGACTGCTTCCTTATCCCTCCCTAATTCCTGCTTTACATTCCTTCCCTGCTATATAGACCCCCCAATTTTAGTCTCCCTGAAAGACAGACTTTAGGCTAATCTTCTGTTTTCTGCAGCTGCAGCATCCGATTAAAGCCTTCTTCCATGACAATACTTGTTGTCTCGCTGATTGGCTTTCTGTGCAGTGAGCAACAGAACCTAGACCAAACTCCCGGGGTTTTGGTAACACTAATCAGTGGTATAGGCTGGGAAAATGTACCTCTGGGATGCTGTCAGGAGGAGGAGGTAAAAGGTCACCTGTGAAACGCTAATCTTAACTAGGTTAAGGATACATAACCAGGTGATCTGTGTAGTAGTAGGAAGTAGTTCGGTCTTGGGGGAATAGCCCCCATGCCATCCCCACTGAAAAAGGCAGCTTGTTGAACTTTCAAGCCTGAATTGGAAGAGAAGAAGATCACATATAAAACTGGGTGACTTGGCCAGCTGACGTGGCTCATGCCTGCAACCCCAGCACTTTGGGAGGCTAAGGCAGATGGATCACTTGAGGTCAGGGATTTGAGACCAGCCTGACCAACATAGTAAAACCTTGTCTCTACTAAAAATACAAAAATTATCTGGGTGTGGTGGAGGGCACCTGTAATCCCAGCTACTTGGGAGGCTGAGGCAGTAGAATCACTTGAATCTGGGAGGCAGAGGTTGCAGTGAGCCAAGATCACACCACTGCACTCCAGCCTGGGCAACAAGAGTGAAAGTCCATCTCAAAAAAACAAAACAAAACAAAACAAAACTGGGTGACTTTGTGGGGGTATGCGGCCTTTTCTAACTTTATCAGAAACCTATTTCCTGTATAGTTTTGTAAACACCCTGGAATCATTTGGGGTGGTTGTCGGGGGAGGCCCATCCTGAGTCAGAGATTCGGTCTCAGTATGGACTGTGTTTCTGAATACCTTTGAAAAGAACAATCTCTCCTACGCACAAAAAGTCACCCACAGGGCACGGCTTCCAAAGACTGGCATTGTAAGAGTAGCCCTTTTCTGGAGAAGAGAAAGAAGCACACGTGATTTATGGTAACATGGGCTGTGAGTCACCCGATGATGTATTAACATCTGGCAAAACAATATTATTTCTAATAATGACTAGCTAAGCATTTCTCAACTCAACTTCATAGGCCCATGAGCCAGCTGCTTCCCTGAGAGGTTAACACCACCACAAGCTTGAGTGGTGCCATGCAAAACTAGTTCCAGAGATACACCTTAGGGATGCAAGGTGACAGTTTCTTAAATTTTAAAATAAAGCACCAGTTTTCTGTAGTTGGGTTCTTTTATGTTTCCTCGTTACTGAATGCTCCTTTGAAACCATAGGTATTGATATATTCTACCCTGCAGGGAAATCAATAAAAACTTTAATCACAAAATTAAATAAAAACCAAAGCTACTGACATTACATGGTAACACTCAGTGAAGCAACAACTTCAAGTTTTATGGTTCTTCTACAACTGGCCTTGTTATTTGTAGAAAAATCAATATCATCTTTAGAGTAATTGGGGATGCATCTTGTCATCATAGCAAACAAGTTCCTGGTTGACTTTACTAAACAAGTAAGAATGAGGCATTAAAATGTGTTCCTCCCTCCCCCAATCCAGAAAGTGATTATTCCTGGGCAACAGAAAAAAATACAAGTAGGATGGCCCCAAATAACATCTCCAGCTCTGTCTTGAAGCATGTCATTGTCCAAAGCTCTGGGCCACCTTCTACGAAGACACTCTGCTGCAGTGGTCGATGGGTTGCAGGACTTTCCTGGAATGATTAAAAGCTTGGGATAGTACATGAGTTAAAACGTCCCCAGAAAAGCAGCACACGCTTCATGGAACATGTAGTAATAGCACCCATTTATCACATGACCTTAGTGATGTCTGGTAATGAAGACCCTATTTCACATTTGAAGGGGAAAAAATAAAAGTGCTTTTTCAAGTCATTTTTAAGTCATAGGACTATAGGCCTGGATGTAACCTTAGGAGGCATTAAGTCCAATAATGTCCAACCTCTTCGTAATGCAGGGGGCCTTCTAGAGGATTTCTGAAGGATGAAATTCCCCTTAACTGTCCTACATCTTTTCTCATCATTCAGTGGCAATGCATGCCCAGAAATACGTGCATGGATACAAACCTTTATCTTCAGGAATCACAAGCTTTCCAGTTCTAAAGAATTCTTAGGCTGAAAGTTTGTTCTTCTCTCCTATAGTAGTGTCTGCATGGTAACCCACAGTGTGGAAAGTGAAACCATTGGCAATCTGAACCATGAAGGGATTCCCAGACAGTGATGTGGTAACACACTTTCAATGAACTTGAAGAGAACTTTAAATTGCTGCAAGGGTTTATTGGAGTCTAACTCAATATGCTTTGGTCCCCTGTGCTCTGGTGCTAGATCTTCAAAATGGCTTTTTTCCAAAACTTGAGTGCCCACTCAGTATAGAAAGCAGAACCAGAGGATGGGGCCTGTGTAATGTGTGGGAAGAGCCAGCTGCTTTAGGAGTGGAGGTTTTGAAAGTCAGGAAACGAAACCTAAAGACTTTGCAAGGGTGAGGCCAACAATAAACCCAGCCAGGGTTAGTGCTCATGGGCCTAAAGTTATTAACCTTGAATCAAAAGAGCAGGGCTTCAAATCCAGCTATTAGCATAAGAACTATTCCCAAAGCAAGAGTTAAAACCACTAGATGACCCCATTCTCAGGAAGCAGTAGAGGTCTTCACATAAGATGACAACCAATGAGGCATTTAAGGTCTTTCCCTTCTCTTTTGGGAACTGCAGGTCAGTGAATCACCTCCAGGGACTAAGATGGGAAGTTGGAAAAGAGAGGGTTTGGAATACTTCTGTCTTTGCCAGTAAGAGCAAAGGAATCAAGGGGTTGATTAGACACTTGCAGGTATCTGTATCAGCACCTTCGACATTGGCACTTCTGTTCTCCTGTTCTCTTTCTGAGCAAGTTCACCGATTAAACAATCAAGGGCTTCTTCCAGATAAGTTTCTAAAGGCAGTCTGTTCCAGAAGATTCTTCATGCTTCATCAACACTGGCCTTAACATCTCAACACTTGCAGTCCACATCTTCATCTTTTTTTTTTTTTTTTTTCAAGAAGGGTAAATAAGAGAAGTCAACTTGCTATGTTGCCCAGGCTGGACTTGAACTCCTAGGCTCAAGTGATTCTCCAGCCTCAGACTCCAGAGTAACGGGAGTTACAGACACATGCCACCACACCCAGTTTCACATATCCTTCATCTTTTATGATCAGGTGTCCTCCAGCAAGCCTTCATAGTCAGCTTCTTCCCTGTTCCCCAATCCATACTCCCCAGCTTAAGCATCCTGTTCATATGATAAACAGAAACTAACAAACAACAATGAAGACAAAAATTTTCATCCATATCTCTATCAATGAGCTTAACAAATTATATTATAAAATTTGCACCATATAAAATTGCCAGTGTTGACCATTTCTGACAACAAAAAATAGCAATTTCATATAATCCAAACAGATAATTCTCTGTTTCTGTGTCTACATCTTCCACTAGAACATGAAGAAGAACTGTGCTTTGTCTTCTGATTATACAATCAGATTTTAATGAATGTCTTGGCACATCACTGGCTCTCAGTCAATGACCAATGAGTGAATGAACGAATGAGTTAAGAGCCTGGGCTTCAGGACTGGGCCACCTTCTTGGGGAAGCCTGTTGAGGCTGAGTGCTTGACAATAAGGAAAAGATGTGACTTAGAAACCACCTCTCCGTCAGACAGGACAATAAACAATACACATTTTTCTGGATAATCTATTTCCTCAATAAAAACATGGCCACACTGACAGATAAGCACACTATTTTATGCCCCAGTTGAATGATTTTTCTCTCAGGTTAGCAAATCCTCCAGCACCTCACAGGATGGCAGCCAGGCCTTGAGTCTTGTTCTTTCAGCTGGTATTTCCATGTGTTCCTTTGACAACAAAAGCATTTTGGCTGAAGACACTGGCTTTAAAGATTTCTGTACAGCATCACACAGGGCAAAATCTGGTTTCTGGTTAGATGTGGACACCCACACAATGCCTATTTCCTCCCCTAAGGACTCACCATATTGAACTCACCATGGTGGTGTGTTTGTTGCCACATCTGATTCAGTGACCCATGTCTACTTTGATATTTGTAATGAAGCTGACTTAATAACCAGCTTGCAGAATTTCTGAGGAGTCGCAGAAATGTCTTTGAGCCAAGATATTTTCTTCACAGTTATGTTAAGACTTTTCCAGAATC